TTTTTTTCTAAGAAGATAACCTTAATTTGTGTACAGCATTTTAGGCATTTTGTTTAAATAAGTAAAAAGTAGTAACAAATACTTGATAAGGTACTTTTAATTTACTTGAAATTATGTCACTTGTTATAATAAAAATATCACTTGCTATAACAGATACCCTTCCCCAAATCATGTTTTAAAAGACATCCTGTTTCAGTTTTTAAAAATTGAAAATATTCATGTGCTGTTTCAATTTTTGTTCTTACACATTCAACTATATCCTTCATATTTGGCATTTTGATTTATTAGGCAATCTTAGCATTAAAGACTTTTAGAAAAGCAGTACTGGATTTCAAATGCACTATGCATGGTGCCCATGATGAATTAATTCCACTAGAGCACAAGAGTTATCATTATTTAAATGCTAGTTTCTTTCAGAAGTTTTAAATCACAGTCAAGTTTTCAAAATTAGAACTTAGCTAATATTTTGAGGTGAACGTATGTGGTTTCTTGTTACATAGGTTAAGTTTTCTTAATATTTAACCCTTCTGTGAATCTGCATAGAAATATTTAATATTTGATATTGATAATTGATCAATAATTAAGGAAGTATTTAAGAAGATATGTTTTTAATTTGATGCTTTACTTTTCTTAAAATGTCATATTCGAAACTATTTGGATTTAATGCATATGTTTGATTAAATAAATTGGACACTGGAATGAATCAGATATTAGACATAAAGTGTCTTTCAAAGTCACTGTAATAATTTTGTTTAAGAAAAGTTGACAAAATAAATTGTTAGAAATGTTTTATAGTACTATTATTTGTTCTTAGTTTTCTGGGAAATCATTTTTTTTCAATCCGTTTGTTTTGATTAAATAGTAAGACTGCCCCACCAAATAGAGAGTTAATATTAAGGCACTAAGATTATAAGACAGAGTGTCTGTTTATGTAGATTGCAGAGTGTGGTTCAAAGTAGAGGCTATTTTTATCTTCTTTACAATCCTTGACATACATAGACTGATCTATCTTTCTCTCTATAAATATATATAGATGCACATATTCATGTGCACACATATACACATGGGAATGTGGAGTGGAAAAGAGGTAGGGAACATAAGAAAAAAGGAGGGAGAAGAGATGAGAAAGAAGACCATAGAGAAAAGTTGAATAAGCAACAAGGACCAATAGTGTCCCTGGTGGTGGCTGAGATAACACAATTAACTATACTTGCCCAGGTCAAGTTTCAAACTTTTAAACATTGCAGCAAATACGGAATAGGATACATGCAGGTTTCTCTTATCACTCTGGCATGTAACTATCTCACATGATACAGTTTTATACCAATAGAACCTATAACTCTAAGAGGAAGAAATAAAACCAACAAGTCTAGCATTCAGTAGTACCCTATCATAAAGTAAGGAGGTCTAATTGAGCTATGTCTTTATATCCTGCTATTTGTACAAATAAAAGACTACATCTTGATGCAAAATAAACACAAAAGCACTGTTGTGACTATAACAGGGAGTCATATACTAATTTATATAATAAGTGGTTGTGCACGCTTTATTCAAGATTATGGCTGCAAGAAATGGCATGAATTGCTGGGTGTGTTTAATGCTGGATTATAGCAATTTGAAACATGTCAAACACATGGCTAATGCCTCATGCTTCACTCATTCTTGCGTAAACCTGCATAGCCACCATCCATTATACCCCTGGTAACAACACAATTCTGCAAGTAAATATTGTTACACTAAGTAACCTTTCAATTCAAGTTGTTTAGGAAGAGAAAATGCAATCTTGTGCAGTCAGTTCCAGTGTCAGTTTAATGTTTCAAAAGGGAAGTGGTGTAGAGAATAAGTATCTGTACAGTGACTTGCTTAAAAAAGAAGAAGAAAGAAAAAGGAAAGGAAGGAAAACTTAATGCAGGAAAGAAAAGTATAACTGTATCGTTTGAGTGTAAGATCTGAAGAGTTATTTTCTGATATGGCTGAAAAGTTGTGTACGATGAAAGACTTAAGGGTTTAACTTACAGTTCAGACAAACGTTAAAACAGGGACTCCCAGATTCATCTTTCCCTTTAATGATCTGGAATTCATTTTCACTGATTTTTGTAAAATGTTTGTGGTGGGATTGAGAAGAATGAATAATTTAGTTTGGTATGTTTCAGATCATAAGCACATCCACACTGAAAGAATATGCTGAATTTATTATTATTTTAAATGTACTTAAAACGTAAACAGCACTTCACACTGTGCTGGAAATATTTCCTATACTGGGAAATAAGTGGAAGTGTTACCAAGATAAACTTAGTAAATGCTAGAAATAATCTGCATTGTCCTTGAAAAATTCCTCTTTTATAGTGAATATACTCCAAGCTTTTTTCTTTAACTGAAATGTACAGTATAATCATCTAATTACACAGTCACCTTTCTTTTTTCATATAAATGTTGGATCAGATACTCCTCTTTTGTAAAGCAAAAAGTACTATCACTGCTATAGTTTTCTTAAGCATTATTTTGCTAACTCTTAGATGATTGAACTTAAAATGTAAATAACAGTTTATACTGTAGAGTTTTACAAAGTTAAAAACTCCACAAGGGATAAGAATAAAATCCTTTAGTTAATAGGAATTATAAGTTATGTAGGTCTTTCTTCATAATTGTAATAAAAATTTAGACACATGCCTCTTTGC